GCGCATAAATCGCGGGCCTTTCCCCGGGCAGGCGGGATTTACAGTGGTCTGTTCCTGAAGAGCTTTTCCGTAATTAAGGAATAAATGCCCATCGGTCTTTGTTTGCTGTCTGGAGCCCTCTTGTTTGCCAGGGACCTGCATATCCCCGGTGGGCTTGTTGCACTCTCCTCCCCCTTAGCAACGCGGCCGGGCAGAGAAGGCATGCGGGCTCGAACCACTCAACTGCTAAGCACTGGCTGTGCAATACACCGGGGTTCTTCTCCTGCAGAGAGAGGAAGCCCCTCTGTGTTTTCTCAGCATATTGTTCCCAGCTCCTCTTCCATGCCTCTCCTCCCAGTTCCTGCTTTGCTCGGGGCAGGAAGACACTTTGGAAATTCCTTGCTGCTAGCCCTTTCTTCTCGCCCTCGCTTCTTCTCCCCCCCCCCCCCCCCTTCCCTGTTGCAATTAAAAACATCAGGAACCCTTCCCAACATTTCAATCCCATCCCCCCCCCCATACCCCTGATGTTTTTCTTTTACCCATCCCTCTCAGGATCATCCCAAAGGGGATGTTTAAACGGGAAGCCCCGGCACAACCAGCTCTGCCCAGCGCTGGCTGTGAGGTGATGGCTCCTTGCAAGTCGGACCGCCGAGCTAATGACGCATTCTGGGGCCCTTCCAGGAGTTTGGGAGGTGCAGGGGGTTAGATTTACTTCATTTTCTTGGAAGAGACACATTAACCTTGTCAGCTGGCCAAGAGGAGAGGATATTTGGCAGTGCTCTTGCTGAGCTGGCCAGGTTACTACGGCGCTGAACGGTTGTACTTCAGTGAGCAACCAAAAAAATGGCAACACACGGGCACAGCACCTGCACAGCCACACTGGAGAGGACATTTAGAAGCCTCCTCTGTTACAGGATTAGTTTCTTCAGGAAGTGAGCAGAAAAGGTAAAAGATTGCAAGAGCTTTTTACTGTTGTCAGAGGTGTGGAGGATAAAACTCCACTTCAAAATGCCTGTACCAGGCCTGCACAGTATTTCAGGTGGCAGGAAATCAGTGCTCTTCCGTGGTAAATACCTGCTGTCCACTGTCTTTTTGATTCAACCTTCCAAAATGGATCCAGCTTTTTAACAAACAGTGGGTAATTCTGGGTAACGAGCGAGTGACACAACATTTTTTGTCATCCTTGTGTCTGCTTTGGTAAGAACAAGGCTGCTCTTGTGCTGGAGCCATGGAATTTTGATGGCAGGTTCTCAGGCTCCCCATCCACATGATGTTGCCTGCACAGTCGATTCTGGGTCGCTGTAAGCACGTGGCTTTTCTATTTCCACCCTGCAGATCCTTTTGGTGTTTGCCTTTCATGCCTCCCCACCAAACACGTGAGGGACAGTTGGAAGTGAAAGGCAGAGGTGAAGAGGGACGAGGAGGAGCAAGGATGGAGAGTGGATACCATCAGTGTGAGGCTCCTGGTTGGATATGTTGGGTGTAAAACTCAACGTGCTCTGTGGGGCTGAGGTCTGTGGGACACGGGCTCCTCCAGGAGCAACTCCAGTGCAAACCCACAAGTGGAAAGTGTGGTGCAGCTCCTGGAGCGGAGCTGTGCTGGAAGCAAAGCTGCTTTTTCTATCCTCTGATGCTCCCTGGTTAGCCCTCCCCCCTCAGAGGGCCCGGTATTTATGTTTCCAGATAATAATGATGTGATGTGGCTGGCAGAGTAATTTAAATAATTGGACGTTATCTTGAGAAGCAAGCACCTAATTAGATCAAAATAAACTGAGGACTGAAATTTTCATCTGTTTCTAATAACCCCTTTACCTATGTACAGCCTTGCTGCCACGACAGAGAGTTCATTATTCACACCACGGTGTGTACCTGGAGCTTACTGGTGATGGAGACTCCTGGAAGAGCTTGCAGGGCTTTGGCTGAGGCTTAGTGACTCATTCCTGGTTCCCCAGAGTATTTTGCCCCTCGTATTTGCCCCTTGTGTAACCAGTGAGGTTTGGAGCTTGTATCAGCAAAAGCTGGGTTAGAATGCAGAACTTAAAGAGATGAAAGGCTCGAAGCACGTCTGATGTTGGAACTCTGTTGTTAATTTCTCTACGTTTGTCTAGGAGGTTATAACCTATTAATTTTAATAGATGTGAGGAAGAGGCAGCTCAGGTGTTCCCCAGCATTTGCTAAATCGTTGGACCCGTCTGAGTGCGTGGAGATATTGCCTCTCCAGCTTCATGTGGTCCTGAGGAAAGGGACTCTGCTGTTAAAAGTTCACTCAGAATCTTGTTTCGGCTTTGACAACTACAGCTGAAAATCTCTGGTATTGAGGGGGTGGTCTGGAGTTGCCAGAATCGCAGCTAAGGGAAGAAAACGAGGGAAATGTTTACCAGCCTTTATTTTTAGGGATTGCTTCGGTGTCTCCCTCCTGATGAGCTGCTCTTCCTCACCCTTCCTCGTGCTCTTATTCACTTGATTTATTTAAAGGTATGTCAGTGCTGGCTGAAATGAAACACTGTGCCTCCTCTTCCTGCTTATTGCTGACCGCTCCAATAATTCATTTTTTAGCTCATTAACTAAGAGGGGATGTGAGCAGTGGTCCTCCAGGGAGCTGCAATGAGGTTAAGTGATCTACTGCTGACAACTCTGCTCTTGGACTGGCCTTCCTTGGGGGAAATGAAACCTCGACCAAGACAAGCTGTGGGATCCCAGAAGTGAAATTGGGGCATCAGAGCAACAATTACAGTATTTATGTCTTGTTGTCAGGATTTGGGAGATGAATGCCGGCGGCGGGGCTGCAGCTGTCTCCCAGGAAAGTCCCCAGGACCTCCCATCCAAATTAAATGGTGTGAGTGCCAGAGATGGAGGGAGGATGTTTGTGGGCGTTGGCTTTCTAGATGCTCACTGGGAAACAGCCCCTCTGTGTTTTGGCTGTCCATGAGGCCTGGGCTTCTCCTGCTACCTCTGAAAAGGTTTAGTTTTCTACCCTAAAATCCAAATGCTATGTCTTTCTTGTGCCCACTTCGTACTGTTGAATAAGATCTCACTCAGCAGCTGATGTCAGTGGTGTGCCGCCCCAAATGCCTGAGGCTTTCGAAGCACCTTTATCTTGCTTTGTGGTGTTTGCTGTGTTCCCACCACAACCCTTGATGTGACCCCAAAGGTGGAATTGGGCCTTAACAAATGGAGCTTTTTGGTGCCCTGCATGGTCAAGAAAAATCAGGCAGGTTTTTTTCTGAGAAGGGAAACTGGAGTGAGGTGAAATAAGCACGAGCAAAGGTTGGGTTTTTAGGTGAGTGTAGCCCCACGTCACTAAAATACCCTAAAATACCCTTTAGAGCCAAAACTTCCCGTCACTGAAAAGATGGTCTGGGGGAAAAGGAGATTCATTTGCAGACTCTGGGCTGAAAAAATTCACTGAGCCGGTGTTTGAGGTACATTTTGCCTTCAGGATGCGTGGACGTGAGAAATTAATGCCCAAAGAAAGCCCTGATGTGAGCTGCTGTGGGTGAACAGCACAGGTTGAATCACTTCACTTTCCAATGTGGCACGTTTGAAACACGTAGTGGGTGCATTGGTTGTGCTGTCAATACCTCTGTGTATGTTAAAAATTGATATTTGCTAAACATGCCTGAAGATAATCTAGGTGGATGCTGGAAGTAGAACTGTTGCAAGAATGTCCATTTTATTGTAGATAATTGCCTGTTATTTTTCCTTTTTATGGCACTAGTTCTGGTTTGTGTTTTTACCTTAAAAAAATACAGATAGAAAACCCATGAATTAAAGATCCTGATAACAGAACTCCTTTTCTTCCTCCTCTCCATCTGGAATACCTGCAATGATATACTCTGGTTATCAGACCCTGCCATCAAAGGTTAATTTGCAACTCCCCAAACGGGTTGGAGGGGTGAGGGGGTTGGCTGTTTCCTTTAGCTTGCAGGAGTCATTCAGAGGTTTGATGTAAAAGAAGCACTCTCTGTGTTAATTTTCTGTTTGCACTTTTGCTCTGAATGAAAGCCCTGGACCTGTTCTAGGGTAAATTGTGGTCGGGGTAGGGAAGCACAAGCTTTGGGAAGCTGTGCCTGAAAGCATCCAGGCAGGTCAAAGCAAGGTCACTCCACATGTCCCAGGAAATGATGCAAAACTAATCCAGATTTGCTGGTGGAAGGAGCTGTTTACATAAGTATTTAAAAACAGATTAGGGCTAACCTGACACTAGATTACTGGGAGCAGTGTAAACACGGCTGAAAGGCAGTAAACAGAGCTTGGCCTTTTGTACTCCCGGAGGAGAGAATCTGTCACCAGGACCAGGGTCCTGGCTCAGGTGATGGGTATGGCTTTCACAGGCTGAACAGATTACCTGAGGTACCACTAAATGGGACTTTGTCTGGGGCTGGATCTCTCACATCCTATAATTGTATGCTAATTTCTTTTAATGGCACACAGAGGGACTTGTTTGTAGTCCTTGTTCTCCTGTAACTCGAGAGCACCCAGAAAGCTTTTGATAGTTCTTTGATATATCAGGAGGCAAAGGTGCTTCGAAGGATTGGTTTGGTGGTTTGAATTTTGGAAAAACAGAGGAACCATCCGTATGTCTTTGGAAACACTGCTGAACTTGGAGAAGGACAAAGCACCCCTGTTTGGTTACTTCTGCTCTGAGATACAGAAATTGGGTGTGTTTTGTGCAGTGTATTTTTCCAGCCCAACCTTAGGGTGGAACCAGGCTGTCTGTTGTGTCTTTGGTCTTTGTGGCAGTGAGGGGCTCTTGCACTGAGCTCTTGCCAGCCCAGACTTTTTTAAGACCTGCTGGCTGTTGTGATCTTACAACCCCTGTGGGCACGGCATCCATCCAGGAGGATCTTGGGCACTGCAGTAGCACGACTCAGTAACATTGGTGGGCAACACAAATTGCTGCTGCAAACACAAGGTATGGGTGAGCCTCTTCCGTGAGGGCATTCTTGCCAAAAATTCGCGGGGGGAAGTAACTTCCTTGTCGGTTAAGCACCGTTCGCTGCAGCGCCAGCTGAGAGTGACCTGTCTCCTTCCCTAGGGAAGAAAAGGAGCTCTGGATACGTGCGAAGTACGAGCAGAAGCTCTTCCTTGCCCCGCTGCAGTGCCTGGAGCTTTCCCTGGGCCAGCATCTCCTGAGGGCCACGGCCGAGGAGGACCTGCGGGCGGTCATCCTGCTGCTGGCCCACGGCACCCGGGAGGAGGTGAACGAGACCTGCGGAGACGGCGACGGGCGCACGGCCCTGCACCTGGCCTGCCGGAAAGGGAACGTGGTGTTGGTGCAGCTCCTCATCTGGGTGAGTGCTGGTGGGCAGGGGTGGGCTTTGGCCGCCGTGTCCCTCAGCGGGACACCCCTCGCCTGCCCCTCGGGTCTTCGCAAGGAGGATGTGCTGGCGCGGGGCGTTCCTCACTGCACGCTCCCAAAGGGGGTGGTAGAGTATGTTTGTGACGGTCTCCTTGATGGAAAGGGAAGGAGAGCGTGGGAAATGAGGAAGGAGAGATTCCCTCAGTCGGGAATACCTCTGGGATGGGGATTTTTTTTTTTTCACACGTGAGACCCCCTTCCCACAGCCCCCTTTATGTACCTGGCTCAGTGCTGCCGTGCCCATGATGTCGGGCTGGCGTCCCGCCCGCTCCCTCTCCTCCGTGTCCCCACCCTCCCCGAAATCCCGAATCCATCCCTCCCAAACCTGCCCCACCTTGCTCTGTTGGCGCTGCAGCTTCCAACAGCCCCCCGTGTCCTCCCCGCAGTACGGCGTGGACGTGATGGCGCGCGACGCCCACGGCAACACGGCGCTGGCCTACGCCCGCCAGGCCTCCAGCCAGGAGTGCATCGACGTGCTCCTCCAGTACGGCTGCCCCGACGAGCGCTTCGTCCTCATGGCCACCCCCAACCTGTCCAGGAAGAACAACAACCGCAACAACAGCGGCGGCAGGATGCCCACCATCATCTGAGGAGCCTCCTCCCTCGTGCGCAGTTCGCCGAGTTACCACCCGCAGCCTCGCATCCCTCCATCCCCCGTCACAGCCCCCTCGCTCTGTGAGTCTGGCAAACTCTCCTTTGCCCTTTTTTCCCCTTCGGCACGCGCTCCCACCCGCCTCCAACGCCCCGTCCCGTCCGGCAGGCGGAGAGCGCGAGGGGGATGAGGAGGAGCCCGAGGGGCTGCCGGGGAGGCCGTCGTCGTTTCGGTGACAGCTGCGGGGAAGGATGGGGACGGACGAGCGGGCGAGGGCGCGTGGGTTGAGCGGGGACGCGCGGCCGCCCCGGCGCAGGGACACGCGGCCTGCTGGCGTGAGGGAAGGGCGGAGGGAGAGGCGAGCGAGAGGAGGAGGAAGGAAGGAAGGAAGGAAAGGAAGGAAGGAGAAGCCCGGTGACTTTCCGTGACTGACAGTTAAGCACATCAGTACATTTCACCTCTGCCGAGCGCCGCGCCTGGATTCCATTCTCTTCTCTGAAGAGCTTGACGGCATAAATCAGAAGCAAGCACAGAGTTTGTCAGGTTTGAAGCTCCTATGATGGTATGTGTCAAATCAGTTGTAGCTAATCTGTCCGGGGAGAATACTGGCTTCATTACACTTGTATAGTTGAGTTCTTCCAGCATTACCGCTGTTTAATAGAACATGATTAGTCATCACGGAGAAAAAAGCATATTAGCTGAGGAGGTAGTTACATGGCACGCTTCGGTGATTGCTTGGATGTGATTGCAATATTCTTAGAAGCATCATATTATCTCAGACATGTTCTTTCAAGCCCTTGGAGCCCTCCTTTCTAAATTCACTGTCATAATTTAGTATCTGTTTAATTTTTCAGTCCAAAGAGAGGAAATGAGTTGCTGAGTGTTATTTGACTGCAGTCTCCTTGGTGTAAAAACAAAATGGAAAAAATAAATAAGAGTAACTCCGAAACACAAAAAAGGAATAATGAATAGCGCTATGGAAAAAAACATTTCAAGTACATTTAGTGAAATTAATAAACGCATTAAAGGCTAATATTTTTTTTTTTTCCTCAGCCAGCAGAAATAGGTTCTGTCATTTTGCCAAGGTACATTGTGTTGAGTTTTTGGTCACTCCTGTGATGCATTGCCTAACTTATACAGATTTTTGTATTGTGTCTCTAGATTCTATGTATGTAAAATCTATTTGAATTTAAAAAACAAAACAAAACAAAAAAAACATAAATATACATTGGATCCTTTTTGTACAGAAAATGACATCTCTGTTAATTTATAAACTGTAATGGATGTGAACTAAATAACGTGCAACTAGTTAGGATCTCTGGGCCACAGGTCATTATACATCAATAATATTCCCAGCAGTGAACTCTCCTTTCCAAAGCCTGTGAGGAACATATCAGGAGGAGATCAGGGCACGCTTGGCATGGGAAAAAAAAAAAAAAAAAAGTGCGTGAGATCTTTTAAAAAAAGAAGAAGAGGCTGTTTCTTAGCATCGTAAATATATTTTAGTCCAGAAGTCAGGAAGCTTTCACAAGCCAAGACAAAAAGCCCTGCTGTGGCTGGGGGGGGGAAGATCAGGTTTGATTAAGCTCAGAACTGATAGCCTTCAGCAGGGCACGGCTGAGCTCCACTCCCAACCTGGCTGCTTTTGGCGAGAAAAACGGCTTGTGAAAGTAGCCCGGACAGTTCCTTCGAGTCCCAGGTTTTAATGCTGGACTGGATTATTTTGGTCTTACAGGCAGATCTCAGTTTCTCCTGGGTTTTGTTTTTGGATTTGTTTTTTTTTTTGAAGTGGCATATGGCAGTGTGAAGATGAGGGGAAGGGTGTATCACGGGGAAAGTTGAAAACTCAACTGAATTTTGTGGCAAATGTGAAGGCAGTGAGGTGCACGCAGCATAGTAATTTGCAGATCTACCTGCTCGGATGTCTTTCCCAAGCCTTGGGTGGTGCTCTTCCTTGGGGCTCTGGATTTCACTCAGCACACAATGGGAGGAGCGTGGCAATTGCCAAAGAAACTCCGGGTGGACAAAATGCGAAGGGGAAAAAAATAATAAAAAAAAATGTGATCCGGTTGTCTTAAGGAGAAAAAAAAAAATGAGAAAATTGTGGATTTGATGTAAAATGTTAAGCTGTGGTAGAAAAGCAGGGCTCGAGGTTGGAAGCACAGGAATATCGACCAGCTTTTCCTCTTTGGAGGTGTCCTCCTTTTGTACTTTCTTACTAGATAGACCTTTGACTCTTTTTGGGGAGGGAATCTTCCTTTACCTGGCCTAGGCTGGCTGAGGCAGAGCAAAGGAGACACCGCTGAGTCCCTTCAGGCTGGGATAATTTTAAATATTCTTTTTTCCTTTTTTTTTTTTTTTGTTTTTTAAAAAAAAAACTAAGGAAAGGTGTCTGTTGTAATTGCTGTTTCTCCATAATTCCTGAGCAGCTCCCTGATCTTTGGTACTTAGGGTTGGCCCTCCGGCGACGGAACCACCCGCCCAACGTGCAGCTGACGGGGGGTGCTGTGAGGCCACCGTGTCTTGGTGCTCACGAGCTTTACATCCCTAGGGGGAACCCAGCAGGGATTCGGGAATGGCCATCCCAGAGGTGCTAGAGCTGCCTGCTGTTCCCCTGGGAGCATCACAAGGGCATTTTGTATCCAAAAACACGAGTCCAGCGTTTCAAACCCACGGAAGGCGGATCTGCCGCCGTCGAGTTCTCGGTGCATGTTCCATTTCACTGCTGGGGTTTTTTTTTCTGAACTGCAGTTATTTTCTGTACATAATTTAATGCTCCCTCTTACAAAGCTGAGAGTGATGTTTGGGAAACAAGGGCAACCAGGCTGCCATGCAGATTTTGGGTATATCGGTTACATGCTCCTTTCGTAAAAATTTTCTGAAGGCTACCCTTCAAAAAACACAGAATGTTTTTAAGAAAGGAAATTCCAGTGTATTCCAGGAAAAATCAGATGTCCAGGCTAGCCCACTGACATTGTAATTGAGTGGTAACACGGTTGTTTTTAACCTAAATGTGTTTTTTTCCCCTTGGAGGTGTAAGTGTAGCTATGTTGGAGCGGTGTAGGAATACGTGACGGCTTCCCCGAACACGTGGGGGTCTGCAGGGAGGATTCCTTGTGGTGGATGCAGGGGCAGCAGGAAAACATAGAATACCCTGAGCTGGAAGGGACCAGTGGGGTGAGATCACCCAGCACTGTCTCTCCAGGTCAGGAGACACCTTTGCTGCCCCTGCAGCTGGTGATGCCCCACCACGGGAGGACAGATGAGGGTCTGTGCCCCGCGGGGCATTGGCACAGCGTCCCCCGTTCAAATAGGGTTGTTTGGAAGGCTGGCAGGGGTGCTGTGGCACCTCCTGAGCCAGTGGGACACCTGGCAAGGAAGGGGAGAGGAGAGGAAAGACCTTCCCACTGGAGCCCAGAGCAAGGATGGAGGATCTCCTTGGCCGGATCCCAGCGGGGCTTGGCTTTGGGAGCTCCGTGTGCTGTACAGGGGGTGTGTTTGCACTTTGCAGAGGGTGTTCTCGGAGCCATCCGGGTGTGGAATCAGGCAGTATGTGCAGCACTTGGGGTCCTGCAGGACTTGCCTTTTCTGCTCCTTATCTCACCTTTAGCCCCTCACTGCTTTTCTGGAACCCGCTTGCCAGGCTGTTCACACCCTTTGAGCGCGTCATGAACAAATATT